GGCAGAATCTGAAGCAGGCACCAGGCTCTGAGCTGTCAGCACACAGCCTGATGTGGGGCTTGAACTCACAAGCTGTGAGGTCATGACCTGAGCCAAAGTCAGACACTTAACCGACTGAGCCACCCAGATGTCCCGAATGTTTTCCTAATTTAAAGTTGAAAGTTAAGCAGTCATTCTTCCCACTTCCTGAGGCACAGGATAGTGAGCACCTGCTATCCAGAGGAAACAGATGGGAAAATGCCCAACAAGCTGGTTGTAATTTGTATCAAACGGGAAAAATTTCTCTTGCTCATTCTGCAATCCCACTGGTCACAATGAAAGCAATCTTTCTATAAATGTCTCTTTTCCGGAAGGGGAAGTGTGCGGAGATTTAGATTTTAATTAACTCTGACCTACTATTAACGAAACCCATGTAACTCTTAGTATCTGCTAGTAGGAACCCACAGTAACGAACACTGTAGACTATGTAGTGAACTAGAACCATCTTTCCCTTCTAACCAACTGAAAGCTTACAGTATAAAAATGAAATGTTAGAGAAGATATAAACATGGTTGCATTTAACTGAAGAATTCTTCCAATCCTTCACTGTCAGGGTGACAAGATTCTATACATGGAATTAGACTTTCCATTTGAAATGGTCAAAGTGGGCACTGTAAAGAATACTCCATAGGAGATGAACATTCATCGTGTATTTCAGAAGAAAGTGCTTCAAAAAGCTACAACTTTGGGGTGGTAAGGGTAGGATTTCCTGTAGTTTGCTAGCTTACCAAGAAATGGGGGGAAAAGGACTGGAAACATACCTGGATCAGCTGCAGTGAAAGGAACACCATCAGAGGTATAAAATGTTGGTTCATTCTAGGATGAGTCAAAGTGATACAAATATGTAACCATTTCCAAATTGATTTTTTAAAGCACATTAATTAATGAAGCATGGCTGATATCACTCATCTGCATCTGATAATGCAAGAACAAGCAAAAACCTAACTTCCTAATAGCCATTTTCATTTCATTGGGAAAGTCCATGGTTTTCAGATTTCTATTCTATTATCTCAAGTTCTTGTGGCTCTAACCCTGCTGTCTATTCTCGGTCACACTCGTGATGAATTGTTTTGTGGTACACTGTGATTAGCATTGTGTCAGCTTATTTTTAGTTGTGGTTCTTCCCTCCCCACCATTTTTAAAAGAATTTCCAAGACTGGGCTTATAGAAGCAGTCCTGCATAGTTGCATTATGCTTGGTTATGTTGGGAGTTTCAGGGCATTATTGGCCTGGTCACCACTTTTATTTTAACTTACTACAACATACAATGTAATAGTTTGAGATCTGGGCCTCTGATTATAAATTCTCTGGAACTGCTTCCCAGAATCCCTATACTCAACCAAGTCCAAGCCTTGTTGATCTCCCTTGCCACTGGATGGATCCTTCTCCAGTTCACCCTTCCCCTAGAGGATTCCACATTTCTACTCCTATTTACCTAGTCTGCTGGCTGCCATGTGACCCGAAGCCAATGAAAAGTTATTAGGCATTAAATTCTGAGACTATCTTTATGTAACTCATCTAGAAATTTCCAAAATTTGGAGCCAAGCAACAAGCAAAACTTAAAATGAAAACATTGGCATACCATAAAATAATTAGGATCATTTTCAGGTGTTGCTTCTCTGTATGTTGAAGTTGCATGGACTCTACCCCAGTTACTTGACCGGAGTTCTACAAGCTTCAAGAGCATCTGTTTCACATCTCTGCAGACAGAAGGTGAAAAGGAGTTAAGTATATCCACCAGAAGTGTTGTCAGACTCCAGAATACCAGAGACTCCTAAAACTTTGTTTTATAAATTTAACATGTATATCCAAGTGCTTTGATTTTCTAGATGTTTCCTGTACTTTAAGCAGTCTTGATATTTGTTCCATCTGTGACTATATGGTTCTTAAAGGTAGTGGCCATTCCACATTTTTATGCCTCTGGACTTTACACTGGACTTCCAGTACTTTACCGAAGTATTTACTGAATAATTTAAAGTCCGAATCATTTTACTTTTTAATGAACTCCTATCTTACCACAGGAAAATCTTAACTTTTTCCATTTATAAACACAACTGAACAAAAATGGCTAGGTAAGCAGAAGCCATGCATAAGATATTCTATCTTTAAAGAAAACCTTTCTCTAGATCTAGAAGATTTTAATTCTTCTGATATATAGCAGATTAAAAACCCCACAGAAAAAGAAATGGAGATCTACTGGCCATCTACCTACCTGCTGCAATTTGCATCTAGGACAACATTTTCAATTCTCTGAATAATTTCCTCCATATCAGTCTTTCCTTTTTCCTTCCAAGCATCTTCCAAAACTGACCCTGTCAACTAAAAAAGCAGGGATCAGTAAGATTTGGAATTCAAGGAAGTACAGAAATCCTAAAGAAGTATCAGCAGCAATTCAAGCATTCTTTGAACAAAATAAATTTGGCAAGTTAAATATTCCCAATTATATTCTGCCATCTAACAGGCAGGAAATCTCTATACCCTCTGTTTTTCTTGACGGAGAGAAACTCAATCATGGGTTTTGTGTGTCCATGACTATATGGTATACTCCCTGTATGAATAAAATAGGCGATAAGATTTTAATCAACATATCACTTATTGAAATATGCAAGTATAGAAACTCTGAATTAACAAAAATATAAACTTCATTGAAAAAGTGAGTTAAGGATATACACAGGTAATTCATCGTAACAAAAATGGCTAACACAAACATGAAGGAATGGTTAAATTCACCAATGATTAGGAAAATGCAAAATAAAATGAAATTTTTGTTTATACTCATTACCCATGACAAAACAGAAACTAGGACCAGTTGGATCATCATTGATATGAATATGGGGAAAGCGATGTACTCATTCACCATTGGTAGGAATGTACTATGGTTTAGTATTTAGAAGAGAAATTTGACATTCATCAAATTTAAGGATGCAATGCTCACTGGCCCACCCACTCTTTGTGTGGGAACTGAACCTACACAAACAATTGCACATATGGAGATGAAGTGATTCAAGAGGTAAATCTTCTGTGCCAAAGATCTAAGATCTTTGTTAGATCATAAAAAAGCAAGTCACAAAGAGGAAGAAAGATCTTATTTATAGGGGCACACATACAGACATGGGAAAGGAAGGAAAGGAAATTTAGAGATGGGGGTGAAGAACTTCCATTTTTTGCTTCTACATTTGGATTATTCCATTAAAAAAAAACAGTACATGCTGCTTTTCCAATATTTAAATTCAAGAGTAAACCAAAAGGCCAACATTTAGAGTAGAAACTTAATTTTGAATTCACACGCATACTATGCATACTTTCGGTCCTCTGAATCATATACAAATGGGGTAGAACAGTGAATTTCAAGAGAAACAGAAGTGAAACCTACCTTCAGTAACTTTACTGCACAAATTAAGTTGTCATCCATAGGATTGGAAAAGAGGGCATTCAGCAACTCCCGCAGACCAACCTGAAGAATATCTGCTCTTGTAACCTGTCCATTTGTTCCCTTGATCTTTTGGGAAAGAAAATGAAAAGCAACCATGCCAAAATATCACAGATTAGTGAATGGTCCGGTATGTTGGCAAAATAAGTGTTTGCAGTTAAACAATATAAAAGACAGAAATCCTCTGGTATTTTCACAAAATTAGATTTTACATGTATTTAAAACCTCTAATAGGGGTGCCTGGGTGGCTTAGTTAGGTGTCTGACTTTGGCTCCGGTCATGGTCTCACAGTTCATGGGTTCGAGCCCACATCGGGCTCTGTGCTGACAGCTCAGAGCCTGGAGCCTGCTTCTGATTCTGTGTCTCCCTCTCTCTATGCCCCTCCCCTGTTTGCACTCTCTCAAAAATAAACAGCAAAGAAGATAATAAAAACCAAAAACTTCTAATAAAACCAGTAAACCTCAGGGATGCCTGGGTGACTCAGTTGGTGAAGCATCCAATGCTTATTTCAGCTCAGGTCATGATCTCACATTTTGTTCCAGCCCTGCAAAGAGCCTGCTTGGCATTCTCTCTTCCTCTCTCTGCCCCTCCCCAACTCTTGCACACACTCTCTCAAAATAAAAAGGAAAAAAAAAAAAAAAACAGGTAAACCGAAAGCTACAGGTAAAAATTTTCATTTATCATACATATGATCAGGATAATCTAAGCCTCCTATATAAATTATTGTTTCATAAAACATTCTCTGTTCTATTAAGATACCACCTTTTTTGGAACATGCAGCATTTTACTCTGCTTTTTAGACTATTTAAAAATACTGTTTGGCATCAGAATGGTCTAAGTGTCTTAGCTCTCCAGCCAGAAGAGACTCAGACTCAGGAGCCATACCTCATCTTTATTTACACTTCTCACAGACATGGCATCATTACTTCCACACAGGTAAACACTCAACAGCATTCTTAAAAGGACTCTTCATTTACAGCACATTTTTTTTTTTCTTGAGAGAGAGAATATCCCAAGCAGGCCCCATGCTCAGCACAGAGCCTGAAGAGGGCTTGATCCCACGACCCTGGGATCATGATCCAAGCTAAATTCATGAGTAGGATGTTTAACTGACTGAGCCACCCAGGCGCCCCTTACAGCACATTTTAGATGAGTGCTCTTATTTTGGCTTATATAAAAATTAAACTGAAAAAGATTAATGCAGGAGATTTTTTTTAAAAGTTATGTCCATCTATGGTAAAAAAGGGATAGTAAATTAAGCACTAGATCGGACAGAGACCATTTAGATGCACTAACAGATGCACATTTGATAGTGGATTCATGGGTGTTTTCAGTGGTGTTTATGATTAAGTCTTCAAATCAAAGTTAAAGCAGGTATAACCCATATATGGGATTAACTAATCAAAAAAGCAAATCCTTTACAGAGTAATATTCAGCACTTAGTTGCCTAGTACAAGCACATACTCAAGTATACCACCAATTCACAAACTTGTTTAGTTATACTTCAGATAAATGCATTTTATGTGGAAGATTCATATATAAAATGGGACCAAGGACTGTAATTCTGGGTGAATTTGGGTAGGAAAAACCCCCAGAAATTCTCCTGTCCCCACTTCTAACTCAAAGCTTTGTGTGCTATAGACTGCTTGTGAACCACCATCTAAAGTCCACATACGAAATGTGTGAAGATTCAAGAAAGTATGATTTCAAAAGCTTAAATTTGCATTGAAACCACGGCTTCCCAAAAGTACACAAAGACTAAAATTCCCAGTAACTACTTCCCAACACCCTCCTCACAAACAGGAGAAACAAACATTACAGACGTTCCATTAAGACACACGCACACACCATTGCCTGCAGGTACAGAGTCATTTCTCTTTCCCCTCGCCCCTCTTCAACTTCATCCTTAATGTAAAGGTGTAACGCAAATACAAATTCCTTACCAAGGTCAGTTTATGTTCTCAGGTTTTGTCAGTACTTAAAAAAAACAAAAAAAAAACTTTGTCCTCACCTCCAAGTTAAGATAAAGTTCTCCCAGGAAGAGTACAAATGCATGGAATCGTTTTCGAGTCACTTCATCCCCCTTGGCAGCTTGATCTTTAACTTCATATTCAGTCCGACACCTAATGAAGATATACCTTTTATAATCTCACATTGCTTTGTTTTTTGTACAAACAGGACAACCATCTGTTGGTTTCACTGTTCACAAGCAATAAAGAGATAAGTACAATCTTCTGATTTTTTAGGATAAGAAGTGTTCCTGTTTATTGGAATTTGCAGTGCTTTTTCATACTAAGGTTCCTAGTTTTAAGAAACTGATGCGTTTGTCATCTGTTTAAGCAACATAGGTTTCATGAGGTACATCGTATATTGGCACCACAAAGAAAAACTGCCTCACCTTTGTCTTCTAGTCTTTTTGTCAAGAAAGCACTGTTTTTACTCAAATTATCTCTGTAAAATGTTCTATTCTGAATATATGAACTTTAAAACACATCTTAAGAAACATGTATAGATGGGTCCCCAACTGAAAATACAATGAATTTTTATTAAGCCCATTATTCTTTTAACCTCCATTACACAAATCAGAGAAATGAAAAGTCTCCAATTGAAATTCACATAGAAACAGAAAGCAATGAATTTGGTCTCAATATCCCAGAGACCAAAAGGAGCCAAATAACTTAGTTTCCCTTGCTTTGTTCCCACTGCCCCCCTCCTTGGCCCATCTGCCATCCTAGAAGTTATCTAAAACAATCACAATAAACCTGTCATAACCCATGTCAGTGAATTATGGTGTCTGTTGCTACTAAAAGGATTTTTAGAATGTACTTTAAATGTTTACCAATTTGGTGTTAAATATTTTTTCTTATCTCTCTTGAGAAGGTGGTGAAAGACTCTAGGAAAGTCATGTTTTATAAAGCTGATTTTTTGAGAGTTCTTTTAAGGACAGAAGTAGGGGTTTATGGAGACTGAATGGCTTCCATGTATGAGGGACCAGTTTAGCTTGGCTATGTCAAATTAAAACAAAATTTTTTCTCTTTTCCTAAAAAAAAAAAAAAAAAAAAAAAAAAAAAAAAAAAAAAAAAAAAAAAAAAAAAAAAAAAAAAAAAAAAAAAAAAAAAAGTCACTGCTTACCAAGATTTTACCTTGGATCAGCCCGTGAATCAACCATAAACCCAGTACAGTTTATCGTGTCTATATGACTTACAGCTTAGAAGCTACATTAAATGAGCAACATTTCGTTTGAGTCATATTTGTTACTCTCTAAACATTAATTCCTCATCAGAACAAAAGTTGGGATATCTCTAAATAAAACACCCTGTTTAATAATGGAAAGGATGAGCTAATTAATGCCAGTTATCCAAACACCTTGTGGGCTATTCTCCTTTTATGACCTTGTAGGTAGGAATTTCAAGGAAATGATCTGTTTTCTAAGTGCAATGACTATTCTATTATACATTAAGATATGTTAATGAATATGCAAAGGTAAATTCGTACCCCTGGGCAGCAATGGTTATCTAGAGAACAACCCACACCTCTAAACTAATCTTTTTAGGCTAAAGACCTAATTAAAGGCAATACATGCTTATTTCAGAAAGGTTAAAAACAGAAAAGTATAAAAAATAAAGTCACTACAACCCAGAGATAACGGCCATGAAGGTAACTTTTCTTTTTTCCTAAATATGTATACATTTCTAAGTTAGGTAACAGAATCAAGCCCTGCTTTTCACTTGTTAAAGGATTAGCACTTACGTTAATATCTCCGACAGTAACACAGTACTATGGAAGCTCCAAGCTCGGGTAGAGTCAAGAGAATCAGAAGAGGTTTTCAACCATGGCTACAGACTACAATCATTTGGGGAGCTTTAAAAAACCCAGGCTCCACCTCAGTCCAATTACATCAGAACTTCCAATGAGGACAGGGTCTCAGCCCTATTTTAAGTCTCTGGGTAACTGTAACGTACAGCCAGGGGTGAGCAGTCTACAGGAACAGAAGCCAGCCTTTCTGCCATGCAAGCTCCTAGAAGTGCCCACTTTCATATCTTTCCAGGAGTTATAAATACAGGTTAAGGCTAAATAGGTTTTTAAAATTTTATCATTTATATTTTCCCAAATTTTACCTATTCAGAGCCATTTCAAATATTTCTATTAAAATAATTTTTTTCTTACCTCATTCCTAAGAGGCCCGTCTTTTCATATTAATGAGTTCATTGCCATTCATATTAGATAAATGAGTTCACTGCCATGTGTTACAAATTCCCGTTTTTTCTTTCCTTCATATAAATTTAGGACCCTTCCTCCCCACCCCATATTACAATTTATATGTAAATTAGGTTTAATCTTTTGTTTTAGGACTTATGGATAGGTTGGTAAAGCCCTTTTAAGCAAGACCTAAGATTTAATTGTTAGTTTCTTAGTATTTAGTGTTTCACTTTTGAGTCTTTTACAGATTTGAAATATATTTTGGTGTAGACAGGAACCCATCTTTTTTCTACCCCCAATGAATGGCTAGCCAGTTGTCAGCAGCACAATTTACCTTCTACATACATATCTGAAGTAGGACCTTCATCAAAAGCCTTATTTTCAAGAGTCTCTGGAGTCACTTTTGGAATCCTTATTCTGTTCCAGTGCAATTTAACCAAATTATGGAATACACTACAACCATTAAAAGTATCCTTAAAGAACTAATGGACTAACTGTAATAAACTTGAAGACAACCCTGTAATTGAATAAAACGATTCCAATAAGAAAATGTTTCCCTAGATTAGCTTATGAATTCAAAGTCATGCCAAAAAGATCTAGTAATACCAAAAAGATTTATGTAATTTCACATGTTGATTCTAAGGTTCTTTGGAGAAAAGCAGCATGCAAGAATAGCAAAGGAAACTCTACCCAAAAACTACGGGGAGGAGACTAATATACTAGGTATTAAAAAACTAGAGCTTTTTAATAGTATCATAATAAAATAAAAATAGAACAATAAATGGAATATAATGAAACCCAAATATTAGGATGTAGTTTAAGGAAGTTAACAGTTCAAATCAGTAAGGAAATGGATCATTTTAAAAATGGTAGGGATAAAACTCAAACTAGTTCAGCCTGTAGCAATTACGACCTATTCAAATTGAAAGTACAGAGTACTAAGAAATACATAAGTGATCACATTTAAGATCTTGGAACATGAAGGGCCATCTAAGCACAAAACCAAAAGCAGAGATCATTACAGAAAAAAAGAGACTGATATGTGGGACTATAAGTTTTTAACAGTACATACCATACTATAATACAAGAAAGAATGGTCCACCCTAACTTCCCCTGCAACTTTCCATAATACACACAGTCTTTAGAAAAGAATCGTCAAATTCTAGTATGTTTAAAGTTTTCCTTTAACTTCATATGTTCATACTGACCTTTGAAGCAGCAACTGACGAAAGTTGCCACTCTGTGGGCTAATTGTCAGATGATGGGACAGGTAATTACACAGGCGAGCTCCCATGTAAGAGAAATTTGGGATAGATGTGGCCTTTCAAAAAGAAAAAAAGTTGTTTGTAACACAAATACATTGTTATTAATGCAAATACTTAACAGCAACATTCTAAGAAAAACATTTCCACCCCTAAAACTGACATTATACAAATGAACAAGTCTTTATTGTTTGGCGTAAGGAAATTAAGTTAACGCTCCCTCCCAACTTCATACCAAGAACAAAGGAAAATGTTTAAGGCAAGTTCTCCCCACAATTTACTTGAGGTTACCAGAAAGCAAATTAAGAAGATCTCTTTATACTAGCCAATTTTTGCATAGGATGTATACATGTGCTCAGTTGCACAGTGCTAGTTATGAATAAGAGTATTTGCCAAACGATTCTTTTTCATGGTGTTTTTTAGGGCAAGGATAGCAGAGACTTTGGTATCTAGCAGTCCAGAACAACATTCCCAGGCCTGCATGGAGACCTTGGACATCAATTACCCTCCATGGGCTTCTGCTTGATTCCTAGGAGAGGTGATAAATGGTACCTGGTAGGAGAGATTAACACTTAAAGAGTACTCCAAAAACACTTGGGGTAAAGAGGAAATGAGAAGCTCTTCCAAAAACTAAGACAGTGCAAGACACTATGTACCGAAGATAGTACTGCTTTGGCTATGTGAAACTAAGTTTTAACTTTAATTACAGCTTTTAAAGAACAGCAGAGACAACATGGCTTACTACCCAATATTAGGTAACACATTAAAAGGCTAAGGGACTCGACCAAGGTTACAAAAGGTAGTAACTAACCAGAGAGTAGAGATGTAACGGATGGTCTGATGCCCCTCTGACCCGATACGGAGTCTACTTACGGAGTTGTGGTAAATCTTAGACAAGTCACTTAACTTCTGTTAAGATGTGTATAAGGGAGAAGAGTAATACCTTGCAACCATGGAGGATTAAGTGAGTTAATTCATTACATGTTAAATGTTTAGCATTGCCTAGCATACAGTACCTATGTTATAATTAGATCTTTTTATTTCATTGCTCACAAGGGACCCTTGTTATCACAGCAGACAGACTGGGTTCTTCTGAGATCACGTATGCATATCTGGTACCACAGAAGACTTGAAATTCAAAAATCATACTTTTCCCATTATGGACATTGCCGGTTTTCCTTTAGTTTACTTTTAAAATTATCACATACAACTTAAAAGGCAAGAAGCTCTACAAGGCTTGTTATTAAATGTCATACTTCCCCACTACACCTCACCTTTACACTCCACAGACAACCACTTTCAATTCTTTCAGCTGAAAAGGTTTCAACCTCTGTATCTCCATGCTCCGGGATTTCGGTTTAGTTATTATTTCTTATGAGTTTCCCACCATGGAAAAGGAATATCCAGTTTTCACTGGATATTCACGTAACACCACTCCATTCTGCTATTTGCCAATCTTTCCATCTACCAATGTCGTTATACCATGATCTGATTGGTTTTGTGTTTCCATTTATGGCTGGACCACATAACACAGATTTCTCCTTTCCTACACAACTTTGTTTTCCCTGGACTTAATTTTTCTACACTGTTCTTTACTTAAGTCTCATTGATGTTACCCCTAAACTCACAAGTTTTTAAGTTTCTTAACATCTTCAACCACAGCAGCTATGCTCACCTTACCAGGAATCATGCCTGGAGTCTTCTGCCCTACGCCAGCAAAGCCTGGCCATCATCTTGGGATCTCCTTCACCACCATCTAGATAATCCACTTAGCCGCTCCTCTAAAATGCAGTTTCCTAGTTTCTACATCTTTGTCCTTGGCTTAATTCTTTTTGGTGGAGTACTTCCCTTCAAGAACTTCTCAAGAAGGGTTACAATAAAACTTCAAACTGGCTACTCAGTGCAAAAAGAGGGAGAGGGTCTCTCTTTCTTTTTTAAAGATTTCCAAGCAATCTTTTTAGTCTCATTCCAACCTTGTCCTAGAGCTTTCCAAAGGCTCTACTCAGTAAATCAGGGGGGATTTTCAGTTTTCCTCACTGGCTTGGAATTCAACTTTTTTAGATCTGCCAAGTCAGTTACCACTCACCCACCTGCTTTCTAGTCTCCATCTCTTCTCCTCATCTCAGCCCCTACAGGCTTATGGCTTCTTAAAAATCCTGTCATTTTAGCAGTATTAGGGGAGGAATCAAAGTTGAATATGTAGGTTTAATCTGCCATTTTTATAACAGGCATTCTGTTACTATACATTCCCTCAATGAAATGTAAAAACAAGTAAAAACCTGTATCACTGACACAGAGTATCAAAACTTAAAATAAGGAATACATATTCTAAGAATTGGCTTTGAGACAATCACAAAAACTGTAGTTTGTCAGGCTACAATCCTTTTGTCCAGCCCTGAAGAACTAGAACCAGGCAGCCTATGAAGTGCTGCAACTAAAACAGAAGAGAAACCAGAAAAGCAATTTCAAGTATAATTTCTCCATTTTCTTCTCCTACCTAGAGGCCAAAAGTAGGTATGAGGACAAATAGAGCAATTCTATCTTCCTAAAATCTCAGGCATGTTCCAAACCTGAGAGTTGCCAGGTAATACCAAGGGGTCCACGAACTACCCAGAACCAATTGTAAAAGCAATCAAATGAAACACTAAGTAGGATGAAAATTATCCAGCCATCATAATCACCCTTCCATATACTCCAAATTAACCGGCCACCATGATCACCCTTCCAAATACTCCAAATTCGAGTTGCTCTTTCAGCAAGGACTTAAATAACACTTGTGTTTATAATTCTAGTCCCCTCCCACTGTTTTTGGTCAGTTTCAAACACTGCCCTTAAATTGGTCTTCAAAATCTAGTGTTATCTAGTTGCCCCCCTTAAAATAGCTTTAATGTATCACTGATCAATACACTAGGATCAAAACTAAACTTTGTGTGAACAATCTAGAATTACGGAATTAAGATGTAAATCCTTGGAAATTTAAGATATAAGCATTAATGTTAAGACTCAACAGTGTTTTATGGGTTTTTTTTTTTAAAATGACTCCTTTATGAGGCAAAAAAGTTCTCCCATGATTTTTTTCTCTTAATCCAAAAATGCTATATAATTCAACACCTAAGAGAAAAGAACTACAGTTAATTTCAGATCCTTTAGAAACAGAGTGGGATGGAAAAAAGGTAGGATACTTACCTAGCCTTCTTCATAAATGTCTTAACATTCCTTCTGACTGACTGTACAGAGCCTTGAATCTCCAGTCTGGCTCCAGCCCTAGATCCCCACTACAGGGATTTTATACAACAGAGACTTGAGAGCTCCCAAGAACCTTAAAGAGTTAAGGAGTGTGGAAGCCAGGAAACATGAACCTGGCCTCCCTGAAGGAGCAACACCACTCTTGGGCTTCAAGGAAGCTATCTGATGATCACCCATGCCATCAGCCAACCTACCTGTTGATAGATGAGTTCTACAAGTTCTTGCAAAGCATCATCTGTAGTAACCCAGCCATTCAGGGTCTCTGCAAACTGCTCAATTTCAGTTTCAAAACTGCCAGGCTGTTCTGTGAGATGATTCAAAAAATCCTGAACATATTCTGATAGAGTGGGATAATCCTCACAACCATCTTCATAGGATTCCTATAGATCAAAAGTTAAAAACAACAACAACAACAACAACAAAAAGTTTTAATCCTTGAAACTGGCTAAAAAAACTAAGGCAGCTTTAAGGTGAGAAGTCTCTAGAACAAATGATCCTTCACACGATAAAATTTGTTATTTTCTTTAGCAAAATTAAGTCCACTGAACTATTCCTCCTTCCCCAATAGCCGAAGTGTTACATTAAAGCAGAAGGACACCACCTAACTGGGTGGAAAATGGTCTTCTCATCCCTGGCAGATTTATAAGACGAATGACAAAATTTAAACCAATATTTTAATATAACACCAATATAAAAATTAAGATTTTGATCTATTTATGGGTACAAGAACTGCGATTTGCTTCAAAGTGGGAAGGGAGAAGAGGCCACAGATAGAGACATTAGAATGCCCACAGTTAGGCCACAGGTACCTAACTGTTAAATATGTGTATGCTATGGGGGGGAGGGAGTGGGGGGTCATCACACTCTTCATATTCTTACAGTTATTTAACAATTTCTATATTGAAAAAAGAACCCAGTAAAGTCTGTCATCTGTTAATTCCCAAGGACAGAGAAATATATAGTTAAGGGACTACAAATTTCACCACAGTGTAACTGGCAGACTTGGGCTGCTATATCCAGGCTTCTAGCCAACCTTGACTGTAGCAGTTTCCAACTATGTTTTACCACGATCACCTTTGGTAATTTTCAGTCTTTTAGTAAATGGCAAGAGGCTGAACAGGGGGAGTACTGCAAAAGGTTTTAGATGCAATTATCAACCTGGATACTTGCAATGCCTCCAACACCAACCAAAGTATTCTGAATTTGCTTAATAGTTATGACCTAATAAGAATTATACTAATGAAACTTACTCTTTTCCAAAAGGAGTCAAATGAGAAACCACATGAAAGAATTATGACAACATAGAAGCATTTTATGAAGAGATTAGGTTCTAAAGCCAGTGAGTACATAAAGAAAAAAAAAAAAATCAGGAGTCCAAATTTTCCTTAGGAAAATTAAAGGGATGCTACTTTACATTAGTTGCATGTACTATGAGACGCACTAAGGAAATAAGACCAACTGCAGGAAGAGCAGATTCACGTGCCCATATCATGCTCATAGCGTTTGTTGAGAAGAGCAGGTAAACTGATACATTAAATGTTCTGATCTCAAAACTGAATGCAAATTAAATGACTCTCCTCTAGGGGCACCTGGATGGCTCAGTTGGTAGAGACTCCTGATTTCAGGGTCATGAGTTCTAGGCCCACGTTGGGTACAGAGCTTAGTTAAAAAAAAAAAAATAAAATTTTAGGGGCACCTGGGTGGCTCAGTCGGTTAAGCTGCCGACCTCGGCTCAAGTCATGATGCAGCAGTTTACAAATTCAAGCACCACGTTGGGCTCTGTGCTGACAGCTCAGAACCTGGAGTCTGCTTCAGATTCTTTGTCTCCCTCTCTCTCTGCCCCACCCCTGCTTGCATTCTCTCTCAAAAATAAAAACATCAAAAAAATTAAAAAATAAAATTTTAAAAATGACTCCACTCTAAAATAAAGAAATTAACATTGATGAAATTCAAATTTATTCATCATAAACATTACACCTATATGACTGAAGATTAAATGAGTTAATGAGTAAATGCCCTTAGACCTGTGACTAGCACATAGTAAGGCATTAAGAGTTCAGCAAATTTCTACATTTCTGGGAAAACAGTAAAACATTACAAATGCCACAGTCATGTTCTCATACCTAAAGAACCACACCTAAAAGCATCTGAAGAACAGAATAAAAGTCCACACTTCTTGGTATATAAGAGGATACCCTGATTAATAAGCTATGTATAATATGCGACAGACACTGTTAAGAGCTCTGCAAGCTTGTCTCACTTAACCCTAAAAAACTTGGCACAGATGGAAGAAACGAACCCAGAGCAGTTAAGTCACCTTTGGTTATTTATTCAAAAGTGTTCACTGTTGAGTTCCTACTAAGTGCCAAACACTGTTCTAGGTGCTGGAGGGGTACTGTCTTGGCATGAACAAAGGAGACAAAGTCCTCCTCCAGTGGAGCTTATCTTCCACCATGGAAGACATTATTCACATGTTAGGATATCCTATGAAAAAAGGTGGGCTGAAAGTAATATAACACTGTAGATTAACTATATTGGAATAAAAAAAAAAGCAAAAACAAAAAAAGTGAAGGATTCAGAAGAGTTAACATCTCATTTGAAGATGAAAAGAAAAACAAAATAAACCCAGCCATACAAATATCTGAGGCTTAGAAAGTAGGCTTACAAAGCACATAGGCCCCAGGGCACTTGGGAGACTCAAGTCAGTTGAAAGTCAAACTTTGGTTCAGGTAGTGATCTCAGGGTTCAGGAGTTCGAGCCCCACAGGAGGCTTGCTGCTGTCAGAGCAGAGCCCAATCTGGATCCTCTGTCCCCACTCTGTCTGCCCCTCCCCCGCTCGTGCTCTTTCTCAAAAATAAACATTTAAAAAAAAAGAAAAAAAAAGGGCAGCACACAGGCCTCAAGACGATAGGTGCTTATCTGATACCTTTAAGAAAAGCCAGAACAGACACTGAAGACGGGGTAATAGCTAACAAGATCAATGAGGCAGATGGGAAATCACGTACAATCTTAGGGACCACACTAAGACTGGCTTGAAAGCCAGTGGAAAAACCATTGGGCAAAGAAGGTTGGAATGGGAAAGACCATGTACCAACTTAAGTAATTGCTGCAGTCACACAGCTAGTCAGAAGAACTGAGCACAGAACAAACCCTGTGGTTCTAACCTCTATGCTACACTCCAAGGAACTGACAAAGGCTTAAAATCCAACTTTGACATATGTACAAGAATATTCATTGCCAACAATCCACCTAACAATCAACAAAGAACTGGCTAAATATACCACCTTATATCCATGTAATAGATCAAATAGCCACTTAAACACGATAGATTTACATCTATTAATACAGAAATCACTAATGTTAAATGCGAAGAACAGAACCGTATTTTAGGACAGCTTAATTTTTAAGAGATTTGGAGACGGTGAAAATTTCTGGAAAGATAGACAAGGGATAACAGCTCTGGAGCCCATGAATGTTCATATTATAAACAGTGACCACTGTTTTATAAAACTGAAAGCAGTTAAGCATTATAAATGCATACATTAAATACACTTAATATTAGCTACATATACATTTTACATTAAAAATACTTTGACATATAGAGTTTTATAGATTTGGAGTGTCCTGTTACTAATGACAGAAAAGCAGGAACCCGACACGTCCTAGCTGAAGGTATTAATTTCTGGTTTCTATCAAATGTCACTCACTGTGGCAAAAATGCAGTCTCAAAGAAGCAGAACTCTTTTAAGAGAACCCAAAGTCCAAAAGTAAAGAAGGGAGAGTAGAGCTGTTCTGATTATAAGCATTACAGGGGACTGGTTCACAAGCTGCCATTTCAAGGAAAAAAGGAAGCAGAGAGTATTCTGGACAGACCAGCACTCCAGTGTGTTTGCATTATTTCTCTAGTACCAGATTTTTCCAAGTACAAATTTCATCAGTCTTCAATGTGGAGTTAAATGGCTTTTAAGCTGAGGGATGAAGTTTTACTTATTTTTCTTAGAATTCTGTGCCAAGAGATTAGGAGGGACAGTTAGACAATGCACTTTTCATGGAAGACTTTGAATACATTGGTACAGAGAAGACCTTAATCCAAAGCAACAGGAATAAAAGGAAACCGATCAGACACCTAGACGGTGGCAGAGTCAAGACTACTTTAGTTTGAAGGGGGCAAGAGTGTGAAAGACAAACAGGAGTCAATATACTGTTTTTGGCCTACACAGCTAGTCAGAATATAAAAAAAAAAGGCTTGCAGAAGATAAATTCTTTTTTTATACTTGAATTTCAACGTGAGATCCTCATGAACAAGTCAAAACAAACACAAGGCAGGAGTTCAGAGAAAGAATTAGATTTCAGTATCAGTAGACAGGCAATGGTCAGATTCTAAGTGACAGGTAGGATCACCAAGGCAGGTAATAAAATGTGGGGGGGCGGGGGGAAGAACCTCAGGGGACTACAGTCTGAGTGAAGAAGGAATGATCTGCAAACTGGAAGGATGAAGAAAGCACTGCCCCAGTGGCCAAAGGAAAAAGAAGAGGTGGTCAGAGGCAAATGCTACAGAATAATCTTAGGAGTTGAAATCTGAAAGAACAATGGTTGCAGTCTTAGGAATGAAACACTAGGCAGAGAGAGGGAAAAATTAAAATTGGTATCTTAAATATTCAGTTTTTATAAAAACAAGAGGAACTTCTAAAAGACTGAAAAGGTACCCTTGGCTCCTAGCACAGGACCAGACTCACTGAGACTTGTTAAACTGCACAGATCATATGGTGGTCAGTCTACTAAGATGAGGGTTAAGAGGACAATAGATTTTAGGGGTACCTGGGTGGTTCAGTAGGTTAAGCATCTGACTCTTGAATTCAGGTCAGGTCATGATCTCCCGGTTCGCGAGATCAAGCCCCATGTCAGGCTCTGCACTGACAGTATGGAGCCTGCTTAGGATTCTCTCTCTTCGCCCTTTCTCCGCTCGTGCTCTCAAGGTAGATAAACAAATAAATAAAAAGAGGACGATAGATTTTAAAACCCAAAGAGCATCAGTAAAGGTCACAAAAATAGTACCAAATCAAATAGGGGGATCAGCCTACAGAGGTTTGATCACTGAGAAGTAAAATAGTACTAACAGTGAATAAGTTTACATTTAGGAGAACATCACTATTGAAAGGCAAAAGAAATAGGCAGTAACTTGAGGGGAACATTCTTAGAAGAAAGAAGGGATTTTGACGGGTGGGGATTTTTGTTTCTTAATAAATGCTTTGTGAATTCCTATGTAGAATTTTTGGTTCTTGTAAGTGAGCTGTGATTATTCAAGATGTAATGGTTGATCTGAGAAGAAGCAATAGCCAGGAGTTGACAGATACAGCAACTCCCTGGTAAGAAAGCATAGAAAGCAGGAAATTCTAGCAGTGGGATTAGAGGAAGGACTCGAGGATAAAAGGGTTCAGAATCTTGGCAGGGTTGAGAAAGCACAAGCAACTATCATAAAGGCTTTCAGAAAAAAGTATGAATACTTGAGAACAGATCCAGTTCAAAGATACCCAGATTTTCATGCATATCAAAGCAGACTTAAGGCACTTTTATTTTGTTCACTGCTGTATCCCCAGTGCTTGACTCACAGTAAGAATCCAACTATCTGTTGAATGAGTGAATATAACTAACTTTGGATTATGGCTACTGTTATCTGTCACAAGACCCTATCCTAAGAGTCAGGGAAAAACCAAGGATACTGCCATTCTGTGACTAAGTGGACAGAGTAAAACACTTACCTTTGATAGAGGGTAAAAGGGTAAATGAGGAAGACTAGAGAATGCACCAGAGCAGGGGTAGCAATCTTGAATGATTATAGAATAGAGGCGGATTACAAACAAATGAGGCAAGCCAATGAGCAATTAGAGGTCATGTATTCCATCTAAGGTGGCTGCCTCCATTCAGCTGCAGACAATTTTTTGCTCTAGCAAAGTTAACAGTCCGGTACAACCCCATCTTATGATTTTAAGAGAAACCAGAAAATTTAGATTTGCAACATCTAATTTAAGTACTGGTTGGTTATTAAACAGGCCTTTAAAAAAAAAAAAAAAGGAAAAACAATGAGGGCCAAAGACGACACACCTGCAGGCCACACACGAGCCATGGGCTTCTGGTTTGCAATCTGTTCTGGCCAACTGAGCATAGAAGAAACTAATCTAATAGAAGATATCAAGGAGTGCCTAACAGAGGACAATGGCTCAAAATAAGTGGACCAACATGGCTCTGTAGCCCAGGAGTCACCTGAACTATGTAAACTAGTTGATACAGAACTCTGGAAAAAACAAAAAACAAAAACACAAAAAAACACATCCCTATCATAAAATGGCCCAACAGAGAGACAAATGGGAAACAGTATGTGGCTGTCTGAAAGTGCTCTTCAAGAGTTAATTCAACTACTCACAGCTCTCCAATGGTTCTTTTCCTCTCCGAGCCAAATACAACTTTTTGGCAAGAATCCAAGCTGTCCTCGCTTCTATTTTACATGACTGACATCAAATCAACTGCTCTTTCTGAATGCCTATCCTTTCCCCTTCCCGGCCACAAAGCTTTTTTTTGTTTTTTATTTATCTTCAGAGAGAGCATGTGAGCGTGCACACGTGAGTGAGTGAGTATAAGTGGAGGAGGGGCAGAGAAAGAGGGAGAATCTGAAGCAAGCCCCTTGCTGTCAGCCAAGAGCCCATGTGGCACCCGAACTCATGAACCATGTGATCACGACCTGAGCCGAAATCAAAGAGTCAGACGTTCAACTGACCAAGTCATCCAGATGCCCCCCAAAGCTTTTTCCTACGGCAGTCTAAGATGCATGGAGTTTCTAAAACATGGGGTACAGTTTTTCCATACCTTTTCTATCAAATATGGAAGGAAAGCACTGCCCCCCACCCAAGAAGCAACAAAATAGGTGTGCCATCATTAGTTATCAGGTAAACACAAATTAAAACCACAAGTAGCGGGGCGCCTGGATGGCTCAGTGGGTTAAGCATCCAACTTCGGCTCAGGTTATGATCTCATAGTTTGTAAGAGGCCCACATCAGACTCTGTGCTGACAGTGTGGAGCCTGCTTCAAGTTCTGTGCCTCTCTCTCTCTCTCTCTCTCTCTCTGCCCCTCCCCTACTCACACAGTTTCTCTCTCAAAAATAAGCAAACATTAAAATTTAATAAAAAAACACAAGTAGATACCACGTACCCACCAGAATGGCTAAACTTAAAAACAGAAATTTCCAAATACTGACAAGGAAGCAGAGTAAGTGGAAATTACATACTACTCAGAGTGTACATTGGAACATTTTCTTTGGAAAACTATTTGGCAATCTCCATTAAAGTTGGCTACCGGTGCAACTGGGTGGTTCTGTTGGTAGAGCATAAAACTCTTGATCTTGATGTGGACTTCAAGCCCTATGCTGGGTGTAGAGATTACTTAAAACCTCTGGGGGGGAAAAAATGAGTTGACCACCCTATGTCCCTGCAATTCCACTCCTAGGTATGTACCCATGGGTAGAACAGCAGCCCTATTTATAATAGCCCCAAAGTGGAAACAATCAAATGTTTATCAAGAGACAAAGGGAAACAGGTGCCTGGCTGGCTCAGTTGGTAGAGCATGCAACGCTTGATCTCAGGGTCATGAGTTCAAGCCCCACGCTAGGCGTGAAGCCTCCTTAAGATTAAAAAAAAAATTTTAGAGGAGACAAAGGGGACAAATATTAAAACAAAAACAGACAAGATGGGACTGTGGTATATTCTCACAATGGAATGCTAGATTAAGTCACCATGTTTATAAGCTAAAACATGGATTAACTTGAATGTCAAAAAAAGTGAAAAAAATATATTCTGTATGAGTCCTTTTATACAAACTTTGAAAACAGGCAAAACTTGTAAATCAAAATAGTAGTTAACCTGGAGAGCAGTAATGATTAGGAGGACACATAGGGAGCTTTGTTAATGTTCCTTTTTTTGGTTTGGACACTGGTTGCTTAAGTGTTCATTTTGTAAAACTTTGAGCTAACCTTTATGTACACTATTGGGTTAAATGTCAGTAAAACTAAGAAATTAGGAAAGAGAAGACTTCTGTGCTAAAGTATCATTTTAACCCTCTAATGGTTCCTGCCCCACTTATCTACAATCAATTGCTATGCATTTACCCAGGACATATTCCCAATTGTGTTGTGTTTTCTCCCACTTAAAAGGAGTTCAGTTTATTAAGTTATTGACAAAAATGAACCTGAAAGTTTAAAAGTTCTTCATACTTGTGTAAACACTTTATCAAAACCTCCTACGTTTCTTTAGTTAATTACAACCAGAAACACTTGTTTTAACATAATAGAGTCCACATGTGTAACATTAAAAAACTTACCTCAAATTAGTCCGCAGCAGAACTATGGTTTAATTTACTCTAAAACTACCAATGAATATTCAGTTATCTTGCTGAAATCCAATTTAAAATCAGCTTTGCCAGGCCATTATTCTATAGATCATCCACTTAGTCTGGACACAAATTTTGTTATTTTTTTAATGTAGTTTTTTTAAAATTTAATGTTTATTTTTGAAATAGAACCAGAGAAAGTGTGAGTGCACAGAAGCAGGACGGGGGGGGGGGGG